AAAAAATTTACTTTTTAACTCGATATAGCTATGTTTTATTTTAAAAAATGATACGGATGAAAAATATATATGAGCTAAAAACTGTTTTCGATGAGAAAATTTGAGTAATTGATTCCTAAATTTTCTTTTTTCATCTCTCTCTTCGTAATCTCTTTTCAGAAAAATTAAAGTAGATTAAATTTCTGGAAAGATTTGTAGTTCAACTTCAAGTGGCTTGGTATAATTTTTAAAAAAAATTATGTTCTAAAAACATAGATTGCGCCGTTCAAATTTAGAAACTAAATTTATAAAATGTGCATATCATCGTTTTTAGTCCCTTCTTAAAAGTTCAACAGTAAAATTGAATTTTCAAAAAATTTCAGCTCCATTGTATACTGCATGTTACCATTTTAAAAAGTAACAAGCGTAAAAAAAAATAAAAAAAAAAATTAAAAAAAAACCCATCTAAGCATAAGATCTGATATGCAAATTTGAGAAATTAGTTTCTGAAAAGTTTCCATTTTATCGTTTTCAGTTACTGTTTAATATTTTTAAAACTGTCGTTGGACAGCTGACCTAATTTTGACGATTTTTCCATTGACCATTCCATTTTGCCATTGAATTTTGACCATTCCATTTTTGCTGACCCAACCTAATCCAGAAGACAAGGGAACTCCAGAATCTAGAATTGGGAGAAATTTACCTTCGTATTGAATTTTTAGACGCAACTAGCCCGTATTTTTGTCCTAAGAACTTACTGTTAAAGGTGCAAATTTAAGAAATTAACTTCTAAAATCTTCATTTCATGGTTTTAGTCATTAAAAAAAAATTTATAATCAATTTGAATTTTCGGAAAAAATTAGCTGCTAAGCTTTATATTCCATCTGAAATTTCAAAAATGAAATGCGCAGAAAACTCTTATGTCCTGAAAACATAATAAAGGAAACGCAGGTAATTAGGAAATTTGCGAAATCAAATCGATTTCTACAGTTTCTCTTTTCATTATTATATGTTTCTTTTTTTTTTTAAATTATATTAGTTTAGAAGTTTTGGAAAATATTTTCAGATAAATTTCTTAAAAAAAATGACTTCTGTAGAAATCGCTTATGCTCTAAAAACATAGATTCCGCTCTACAAATTTTTGAAATTAATTTCCAAAGTGTCCATTCGTTTCATTATTTTTAATCACTTTTAAGATTTGCATTTAAAAATCTGCATCTTCTATAATGCATAGTAAATTTTTTTTTTCTAAAATATTTACGAAATAGGATGTTGCAAATTTGAAATATAAATTTCTTAAGTGTTCCTGTAATTGTTTGTAGTTATTTTTAACAATATTCATCATTAAATTTTCGGAAAATTGCCAGATCCTTCCTAAAATGCATGGAGCCATTTTCTAAAATGACATTCATAGAAAACATAAGCTGGATAAGAAGCGAAAATCGCATCCCAAACGGCTTAAATTATCATATCATCGAACGATATTACTAAATTTCAGCTCTAATGCTGCCCTCTATTATTGTATATTGATACTAGTATAAAAATTCTACGAATATTGTATTTAAGTTTAAATAGAATTCTCACATTATTTTTAATTAATAATAATTGTTTTCTTTTAGTTAAAAAGACATTTTTAGTAATTCCATAATTTTACTTTGAGAAAATTTAAAAAGTCGTAAGACCTGTAACATTTAGTAGTAAAAACATTTTATAGATGGCAGCACCAAGAAAAGTTTCCATTGGTGAAAACATTTCTGATGTGAAAGGTGAAACTTATAACCCAAATATTAAAAGGAAATAAAATTACGTATTCCTTGGTTGAGGACATTATAAAATACTGTTAATAGATTCAAAATATATAATATCACGCCTTTTACGTAGTCAGGGGCAGGAAAGCGTAATATGGTGGTTTAATCAACCTCCACCCTAAAAACAAGTAATGTTTAAAAAAAAAAATTCGTAAATTGGTAATTTTTCAAGTTTTTTCAATGAAACACTTTTCATTTTTTTCAAGTAATAATATTTCATAAGTTATTAATTAAAGCATGTCCTTATGATGGTATATTCTTTTGAAGCTTGATCAAAGAAAATTTCCTCTTTTTTTTTTTTTTTATTTACTTAAAACTAATTTTTTTCTTTTATTGATAAAAATTAAAATGCAATTTTCAGCGTCAGTACATTTTTAAAAAAATAGCGAATCAAATGAAAAGTAATTCCCTTAAGAATTATCTAACCGCGAATTTCTTATTAATTAACGGTGAATTGATAAATATTTATTAAAAAAGCACCTAAAAAAGGAAACTAGCGAAATTAATCATGCGATTTTTTTTTCTTTCAGGCTCCGATCCGATGACAAATAATTTCATTTTCTTCTTCTGCATTTTTTTTAAATATTTATATATACAGGGTGTTTCTTTATCACCCCCTCTTAGATGTATAATATAATTGAAGCAAGAAAAAATATTCATAAAGGTATGCAAATTAATATTAAAAAGCCAAAAATGCTGCATATTCTCGATTGAGAAATGTAGAAAGAAAAACCATTTGTTTGATTGCTTAAATATGACAAATTATGATTAAATATGATTGATTAAATATGGCATTGCTAATTTAAAGATATTTCTAATGTTCGCATTTTAACTCTTTCTTATATCGTCCAGCAATCAAACTGGTTTTGATGACTTGTCTTCATCGGTAGATTTTATTGATTCGTTAGATTTCGATAATGTGCTTCGTTAATGCTAGCTTAAACTAAGCTAGCACTAACTTGTGACTTTTTTCTACAGTTATTACAAGGATTCTAAAAATACATATTAAGAGCGGTGTTTACATATGCATACTTTAATTAAGTGGGATATAAAATAAGGCGATTGATTTATTTTCTTAAGAATCCATGAATTAGTTAGCAAATTTGTAAAGAGTTATAGTGCTGCAGACTGGTTTTATTCTGTTCCATCCATTTGAATATCATATTCTTTTAATTTATATCCGTATTTATGTTCTAAAGAGAAAAACACAAAATAATTCTTTAAATTTACTGTTACAAATTAGTCACAGAAGAGCAAAAAATTTCACGGTGTTTATCTATGCATCTTGTGTTTTCATGGCAGTAAAATGCTCGAATAATAAAATACGCAATAGAAATTCAACTGTAGCTTAAAACACAGTAAATGTAATGTATACAAAAGAATAAAAATGTCCTACTAAAATTCCTAATTTACAAACAATAGTGACAAAATCGAATGTTTCCCAAATAGTGCGAAATTTTCCAGCCATCGATGTTAAAGAAATTGGTGATGTACCAGAGATTATTGCAAGACAAGGCGATTTTCAAACTATTAATACGGAATAACATTTCACAGTTGTTTTTTAAAAAATATTGCGTAAGTAATTTCTAAATTTTGATCATCATAGATAATGATAAAATATAATAAAAGCATTTGGCAATATGCTCCTTTACGCAAACTTTAAACTAAATTAATTATAGATCTTGACAGATTAATTAATTAAACCCCATCATTGCTGGAGTGAGATATCTGTCTTCCCATTTCTTATTAAGAAATAGTGTAAGATGAGGTGACAACCAACAGGTGTCATACGAAATAATTGCACTGCTTTCTTTGCTGATTACTAAAACACTGAAGAAACCACCATTTAACTTTTTTACAGCATATTAAGTTAGAATAATAAGGATTGACACTATCATGCCAATTCCATTGATAACACTAACCTAGAAACAGAAATTACTATAATTTTACATTTAACAGTTCCTTAGTATTGATTCCAGATACGTATAAATTCAAGTTTCCGGTGTCTCCATTAGATGGCAGCACGATGCGCATGAAGCGGTGATGATTGTCACCAAATTCATTCTCCTGAACGATTTCAATATGTGGCATATCACCATAATATCTAAGCCTTTTGAATCGTTATTCTATATTTGCTTCTTTCTTCTGTCCATAAGACATTTTGACTAAGTAGATTTTTAAAAAAGTTTATCCATCTATTAAAAGAAAAGACTTAAGAGACACGTGACATTTAAACTTCTAGAATACGTTCTGCTATGTTCTGCTAACATACGTTCTGCTATGTTACCCGTAAACATTAGTTTTGAAATTTAAAATTATGTTAACTTAATTCTGGCTTAGAATATATTTAACATATTGTATAACATAATTTTACTTACATATTCTCTGCTTCATTTATTATATGTTTGTTTGTAGTTTTAGCAATAGAATGACTGCTTCCTGATACTTGTAATTTCTTTACCCTATTAAGATTACTGCTATAAATAGTATGATAAATGAAAAAAAGTTATTTAAACAAAAATAATGTCAAATGTTAGTTATTTTGTATATGCAGGGAAGAAAAAGGAGTTTTTGCATTCTCACAGAAAACTAGTCTTTGACTGTTTATTACCTCATTTTTAAAACTGGATGGGTAATATAGTAGGAGGATCCGTAACTGGAATCGTCTGGAAATCGGCAGGTATGGAAAATAGATTTTTCTATACGTTTAACTTTTAGTTCAACTATCCGGAAAAATCTATTAGTTACATATTATTTTTTTATACATAAGATTTTGTAACAGATCTCAAAAGTAAAATAAATAAATTGAAAAAGGAAAAGAGCTTTGTTTATTTTGATTGTTAAAAAGTGAGTGGAAACTATATATTTACAGCTAACTTAAGTCTGTACGGAGCTTTGTACTGTATTGCAAAACTTTCTTATTTTTAAGCAGGCCCGTCCTCGAGTCCAGCAGTTTCAACGGAGGACGGGTGCATTGTTGGACAAGCCGTCCTCGGGGACGGGTAAAATTTCTGAGTTTTTTCGAGCCCTGTTTTTAAGGATTAATGTTGGGTAAAAAAATTTTAAAATAATTTTTACCCAATCTAGATAATCGAAATAAACTGAATTAAAAAATTATTATTTAAAAATCATTCAGACATATAAAACACTTAACAACAATATGAATCCTGAATAACTCGTTGTTTGCAGTTCAATTATTGGGAATAAAAAAAGTTTTTCTATCTTTACAAGATTTTATTTCCAAACATTTTCTACATTCATCAAATCTATCATACAAAAAATATATCAACAGAAAACAAGCTATGTGGATAAGTAATAAAAAAACATTGTTCAGAGACTACAAATTTCAATCAGAATATTATCCAACCACTTTAAAATAATTAACCTTTAAACAAATTCTGAGGTGAGTTAAAGTAACAAAAATCTCATTATTCAAAGCAAAAATAAAAAGCTAATTTAAAATAACTATAACTAAACACTTTAATGATAATTTTTAGAAATGCACTTAACTTGAATTTCAAATGGCATTTCAGACATACACCACAATTTTTAAATCTGCAGTCTGAATATGCTAAAAATATATTGAATTTATGTTTCTAAAAAATTAATTAAAAAACTTTGTTTTGAAAGCTTGCTTGTTTAAAATGGATTTTGTATAGAACATTATATAAATAAACATTATTTTTGTATATTTATAGTAATTTAAACAATTTTTTAAAAATTATTTGTTGTAATTGTTGCCACAAATTTTCTATTAGTTTTTTAACGTGTAACATTTCAATCAATTTTTTTATTTTGTTTCTTAAAGTTGAACTATACTAAATTAGGATATATTGATTAGTATGAAGGAAAATATAAGTGAACATAAATATAATTCGTATATGCATTCAAGTTTTATTTTATCATTCATTCACTATTCTAAAAAGACTTTGAGGGTGAAAGCATGACAAGACATTTATCCGAAAAATATGCAGAACTTTGACTGTATGGTATAACGTTTTATTAACCCTCGAGATGCTAAAAATTCGAAATTCAGCATTGCTTAGCACATGAGCTATTGCGCGTATATCATCTAAAAATCTCCATTTGTAAACAATGGTATGCAGATTAATTAATGAAACAATAATCAAATTGTAAAAAAAAAATGGCGAAACTTTGAGTATATATTCATAATAAAAATGTACATTCACACTCAGAAAAAAAATATATGAATAACATCTTCCTGACCAGCATTAAGATGTCACAAAAGCGAAGAAAATATGAATAACAAAACAAACAAAAATGAATGTTTACACATCATAAACGACACACGTGGCAAAAGTCTGTTTGATAATTCAAATGATGTATGATTATTTGCCGTTGACTTGGCGGCCATTTGGCGCGATATCAATGTCATCTTCTTGTTCAACAACTATGGGTGATCGAGCCTTAACGTCTCCATTTGGATATTGTTCTCGTAAAGGAAACCAAGATCCATTTAATGTTGCTGAAAGGAAATTGAAATAATATAATAATTAAATAATTGAAATAATAATAAGAAAAAAAAAGAATTTTTAATTTTTGAATAATTTATTACAAGCGATGGTCGGCGATCATTGGCGTATACCTATTAAGTAAAGAATAGCTAAAATTTAATACCATTTAATTTTTTAACTTCGATGAACGATACATTAGAACAAAATTTTTATGTTATCCAATTTTATATTCTACGTTGCTGAACGATATTCTAATTATACAGGCAATTAATGTACCCCACCGGATTAATTTCTTTTTAAACTTATAACTCGGTGGAATAAGAAAAATCTTAAACCAAGCATTGGGCAAATTTACACCATGGTTACAATATGGGCGAGTAAAACTAACCTACTCTTACTTTAAACAGCGACAAAAACATCGAAAACACTCTCACATTTAGCTTAAGACAATACAATTTTAACCAGGCTTCTGTTAGCGTTGTTAGACGCAGGGAGTAATTTTCGACGAGAATACAAACATCCATGCCAGAAGGGGACATAATTACTTGTTTATGTAACAAGCTATTTTTTTCGATTTAATCAGCGGTGTTAAAGAATCTAACGATTTATCGAACGCGCAAATGGTACCTTCCAACTTGACTTTCTGATAATTCTATTGTGAAATTGATACAAACAAGGGAAATGGCGTTCTGCGGCCGAATAGCTGAACAAAATCTTCTTCGTTGAACATTTTTTGAGTAATACTTAACAGCTACTCCTTAACATTATTAATCTGAAGACAATAATTATCTAAGATTAATATGTCGTATTTAATATGAAAAATGTGTATAGAATAGCACTATTTTTTTAATATTTAATACAAATGCGCATAAAATTACCTAATGATACTATTAGTTCCTTGAAATTTACAGGTTAAAATCACAAGAGCAGAGCATGAATCAAGATCGTGTCCGCACTGAGGAGCAGAAAAAATGGCGTATTTAAAGCAGATGCAAACATGCATGTAAAAAGTCATGCAGACAGCGTTCGAAGTCTAAAAAAAAAGTGCTACAGCAGCACTTCTAGGGAAACCAGGGATGCCTTCAGTCCTCATTATGAGGGAAGGCCGAGACTCGACATCATGGTCAAATAACGCTCCTTGCTTTACTCTAGAAGCAAATCTTATTGTCATTAAGTTTTACAGTGTGAATAGAAGAACCCATAGAAAACCCTTGCATTTTTCTTTGCTGAAAGGAAAGCAGCTCCCTTCCAAGGGATCTCAATAAAAGTACAAATTGACACTACCACCATCTCACAAAATTAAAATAAAATGCAGATTAAAGTTATCGTTGGCAACAAGACAAGCATATCACATACGCATCCCGCCAATTAATCAAATTCAAGAAAACTGGCAAATGGGGATTTTTTTGTACCTTTTATTATAGCTTAATTTGCATATAATTCTAAGAAATCTTCCATCTGATTGCTATTCCAAGAGAATATATACATAATAAATCAGTTAAGAAATAATATTGTAACTGATATTAGACAGTACTCGGAAAATTGTTGCTAATTTCAAATTGATTTCTTAAATATAAATAAATATAGCTATGGCAAAAGTTTGTGATAACAATAGAAAATGATTACGATTAATTGCATATATAGATAATTACATTTGCAATCTCTGATAAAATCGTAACTTATCGCATTTAAAGTTTACTGTAAATGTAACAACGCGTTGTTCATTTTCTTATTTATTTCTGCTTTACCTTTTCAACAAAAATAATAGCCTATGATCAAATTACAAACTTTTGAAACTGGGTTTTAGATGCCTGGTGTAAGAAATTAACAGAATTTGTAGATTTGGTCGATTATCTCTAGAACTACAGGTCCGATTTTAATGAAATTTGATGTGTACATCCATTGATAATATACAAAACAAATAACCATTCAACAATTGTATTTACACACGATCGTGCGTAACATTCGTTGGAGTCGGAAGGTATGAAACAGCGGTTGCAGAATAAGCAAAACAAAACAAAATGGGTAAATATGGGGTATTGTCCCCTCTTACAAATATAAAGGCCTTACAGCGTGATTTTATACTTGAAATAAGGCAGTCATCATGTGGCAATTGTCCTGTGACAATTTCATACTTTCCTACTCCAACGAGTGTTACGAACATATATGGCAACGTTACTTTTAAAAAGTAACGAGTAAAAAGTAAAAAGTTCTCATTTTAAAAAGTAACGAGTAAAAAATACAAGTAAAAGTACAAGTACTAAACAAAAAAAGTAACGATTTAAAAGTACATTTCTAGAAAATCGAAAATTCAAAGTAATCTAAAATTTTATTGAATAATATTCTTATGTTCTTTAATGTTTTTGCAAAATTGTTGTTATTTATTTAATTATTTTTAATTTTGAAAGTTATGGATATCAATTTATTTTTGAATTCGGAAGAATATTATAATATAATTTTATAATATAATCGTATAATATAATTTTAAAATCAAATATAATTTTAATATCAAACTTTTTATGGATTTGCACGAAAAAGAAATTTTATCTATTGATTTTAATTTTTGGTTTATTATTTTTATTTATTTAAATTACCATTGATTTAAAATTGTTTTACTCTTTAGAAACGCGTTTTAAAAGCACAAACATAAACAAAGCAAACACGGGGTTTCAGACAGCTTTGTGATCTTTGAGCTAGTAAAAAATAATTGAATGTGCAGTATAAGTTGAAACAGAAGGTATTTAAACACGAAGTTAGCTATGAATGCATATATATTGCTCATTAATTTTATAAATTAAAAAAACATAAGCAGTTTTTTTAATTTAATTTTTTTTTAGAAAGCTTACCGAGTTTTAGAAAAAAGTAACGATTTCATTCGATATTTCCGTTACAAATACTTATACTTTTTCTCTGAAAAAGTAACGAAAGTACAAGTAAAAGTACTAAATTTAAAAAGCAACGAAGTACAAGTAAAAGTACGTACTTTCTACTTGTACCGGCGGTACAAGTAACGAAAGTAAAAGTACTGCCATATATGGTTACGAACGATCATGAGTGTGTATCACAATTGTTGAATGGTTATTTGTTTTGTATTGTATCAATATATGTACATATCAAATTTCATTAAAATCGGTCCAGTAGTTCTAGAGATAATCGACCAAAAGTCTGCATATTCTCTTAATTTCTTACACCAATGTAGAAAAGTCTTAGTATCAGGCGGTTTTTTCTTAGAAAATTTTAAAGAAAAACTTTTTTAATTGCTACATGATGAAAAAATCAACGCAGAAAAATTATCAAATAAGTAAATACCTGGATAAGAACCTGTCCTTTTTCTCAATCCTATGTGATAGACTGTCAGATAAAAGAATGCGATTATAGCTGAAAATACACCAATTCCAAGAAATACCACTCTTTGTGTATAGCTAGATATCAACGCTCCACCAGCTAAACTACCAAGACCGCGACCTAAAAACCATATGACATTTTGAATTTTAAACAGAAATATCAATGTCTAATATAATCACCTGCTAATTGTACAAACAGAGAGGATGAATGTTTGTCCTGTTAGCTTATTAATCTTTAAAGTTATGTAAAAGCACAAAATATCAGATAAAATGTAAAGCTCAGACTGAATGGAATTTTTTACGCTAATCTAATTAATTTTTTTTTAACTAATTAAATAAATATTAAGTTTGAGAATGATAAATTAAAAAGTTTAGAGGTTAAACATGCTAACTTACATTTTGAAGAATTTCTGAAAATCAACTTCGGGATGAACCAATTAGGTAAAAAAAAAAAGCAATAATTCACCTGGTTTAGTATAATTAACGACATTTGATAAAAACTTTTATAACAAACAAAGCGTATCGACTGAATTTTCTTTTTTAATTAATTCTTTAAACAATATAATGTCTTTTTTCCCCTTTGTGTTTAGTATTTCAATTACTGTGAAACAATTTTTCTAGAACTATCACAAGGTTTTTTACGTAATAAAATTCCTTGTTGAATGTTACTAATTAGTCAAAAGCAATTGAAAATTTCGAATTTAGGTATGTATTTTGAACAATTCAAACAATTACTGTTGAATATTATTGTAAATTTTTAATGCTTCAAAAATTGAAACTAATCAGGGGTCTGTTTAGAAGAAATTTGGGTCCGTTAACGGACCCTTCACAAATTTGTTTATCTTCATTATAGTTTTGTTAATCGAATAAACCCTTCCCAAGAAGGGGGGTGGAGAGAAGACAGATGTAAACGAACTAAATTTTGTCTTCGGCAGACGCTTCTTCCTTTATTCGTCCGAAATGAATATTCAGCGTTCAGCAGTATAGGTTGTCTTCACAGTGTTGAGCATAATCTTGTATGTCTTTACAATTTAAAAACTCCTTGAAAAAGTTTTTTTGCAATAACGGACCCTATTTGCACAAATTCACAAAAGCGGACCCTGGTTGAAAGAATGTGACTTAACGTATATTTTATATTCACAAATTACGAGTAATTTTTTCACAATTTTACAAAAACGAACCCTTCACAAAATGTCTGGACAGACTCTGCTAATATTAAAAGGCTTCAGCTACAATGAAATTATTAATATTGGGTCGAATTGAATTAAATGCTATTTTAATTTGAAGTTCTGTTAATGTGTTTTGCAAGCATAAAACCGTCCTCAATACGTATCAAAACTAAATAATTTAGTGTGTCAGTACTAAAAAACATATATTTTCAGTATGGAAACTATTTATAAGCCCTCGTTTTAGAATATTTATATTAAAAGATTAAATCAACTTTATAGCTAAAATATTCACTTACCCAAACCAAAATGCAACATATTCAAAAGATATTGCATGACAAGGCTATATCCAGGTGGCGTGATTTTCTGCCCGTAAGCAACTGCTGCAATCCACATAACACAGAGTGTGAAACATCCCATCAAGGCGAAAGGAAGAGTCCACCACGCAGAAGAAACAAACGTTATTCCAGCGTACCTCGTGAAATAAAACAGGAATGCAAAAACCAACAAGTTGGCCTTCCCAATATTCCGCACCATATTCTTGGATATCAGAAGGAAAGGAAGACTGAATCCGAACATGAGCGCGAATGACAGACCCATTTGCATGAATGAACATCCGATATCTTGAGTGAGCCATGGCAAGAAAGTAAAAAGAACACTCCACTGCATTCCCAGGATCAAAATCACGATCAAAAATACGATCATCTCACCAGTGAGGAATTTCATTTTGGGCGGAAGAACCGACTGCTGAAAGTCAGCCGACTTGTGTCTGTGAATGGGGAAAATGATGACGAGCGCTGCGGTGACAAGTGCAAAAGCTGCTGACATTAAGGATGGAACTGAGAAATCTGCTCTCCCATCCATATCTGTGTAATAATCCAAAGCTGTACCACTTATTGGAGCTAAAGTTGCAATGCCTAAAGCTGCCCAGGCATGAATCCGTCCGTATGAGCCTTCATAATCGACAGTACTCCAAATGGTCACAGCATCCAATAAGCAGATCGCTGTTAATAAGCACATATCACCTAAACTTCGAAGTATTAAGTAACTCCAGAAAGTTGTGGACGGATTACCATAAGCTTCCTCGCATGGCCGAGGCATGACTGGACTCTCACCTCGAGTAAATGAAACTTTGCAATGAATTGTGCAACCCTCTTCTTTTGGTCTGCATGATATGCCTTGGTACTCTTTCCGGTTGAAACTGATGGGTGCTAGTGGCAAATAGTGGCACATTGCAACGTGAGCTCTCGGAACATCTTCCTCGTTTGAAATATTGGAAATGCTCACGGTATCATTGGTACTTGCTGGTACATCGACATATGGCCATGACTGCAAATGACTTACAAACTCGGTCAACGAGTTATTACGGCTGTCTTCATCAAAGACAGTGCACATATTTCCGTGATCACCACGGAAGCAAAGAAGAAGGGGATTTTCAGAAGTGAAATGTCCAGTTTTCGGACATTGGTAATGGCAGTTAGATAGTTTTATTTTGGTAACGTCGTCACTTCTTTCAAGTGCTTCTCCGCAGTTCGCCCAGTTAACGCAGCGTTCAACTCTTAGCCCAGCGTCACAATCAAAATCCACAAGGGGTTGGTAGTTTAATTTTTCGTAGCGGGGAATGAAAGCTAATGAGACGAAAGCCAAAGCTCCGGCGAAAATGAAGAACACAGTTGTTGACTTGTACCTGTTCTGCCTTTCAGCGAAAGTACCTCCGAGTACGGGACCAATCAAACTGAAGAAAGCAGATACCGCATTGATGAAAGCTATTTCGGATAGGGAGAATCCTAATTCTCTCATATGTGTCGTCATATAAGGAAACAGGCATCCTATACCTAGATATAAAAAAATATGATTAAAGTATTAGTATATAATAAAATAATGACACATTATTAAAATAATAATACAATCATAAATTAATAAAATGATCATACATTAATAAAATAATCACATTTTACTTTTTCATTAATAAAAAAATAAAACAATCTTACACAATTTTTCTGCAAAGTAAAGATTTAAGTGATAAATAATTGTTGTTATAAATTATGATACCATTAATTTATAATTTTGTGATATAGGATTCGATTGCTATAATATTAGAATAACGGAGATCATTTCTGGAGAAATTTTAGTTTGTTTACGCACTCTTCACAAATTTTTCATCGTAAAAAACGGACCTATCGCAAAATATTTTATAGCAAAACAAACTCTTTGCAAATTATTTTATAAAAAAGAGCCTGTTACGAAATATTTTATCACAAAACCTGACATTTATCAATATTTTTCATTTTTTAAAATCAGCCCTTTTCAGAAAACATGTATATTTTTATTTAAAAAAATATTTATCTTTAATTCTAAAATTTAAAATTTCAGCTAAAAAATTAAATTTAAAAAAATAAAAATAAAGAAAAAAATAAAAATAAAATAAAAAAAACTTTTTTTTTCACTTTTTCACACGCTGATTTAATAACAAGATCCTATTTTCACAAATTCAGAAAACTATGAATTAATTTTACAAAAATAGGCTCTTTCATAAGAAATCTGAATGAATAAATATTTACTTTAAATAAACTTGGAAATGATAGGCATAATCGGATAGGAGTAAAATATTGGAAAATAAAACTTCATGCTTAAATTTATTTTATTATGAAGTCCTCACTAATACTGAGAAAGAGGTCTTTTTTAAAAGTGAATGTTACGTTTTAGGACATTAAAATAACAATAAAATAAATCAGTCTATAAATATAAAAAAGATTTCTAAGTTCTTCAATTTATTGTAAGGTCACAACATATTTTTTTATTATATGTTTCTATGGCAATCGTTATTATAAATAATTCTCAATATAAAGATTGAAAAGGAACAAAAGTACCAACAAAAAAAAAGATGAAAGGTAGCAATAAAATGAATTAGCCTAAGAATAACAAAAAAGGTTTTAAAAAACTTTCAAATTATTGTGAAGTCACAATTTCTCTTTTTTATTATACATATTTTATGTATTAATTTTATTTGTTTATTTTATTTTATTTTGAATTTGACAAAAATTTCGACTAACACTTAATAATTCAATTCTTTACGAATCAAATAGCATCGAAAACTTTTGATCAGTTTTAACATTTAATTGGGTATAATATAGCCTACGTCACAGGTTGTGTTGTTCCTACTAAATTTAACCCATGAACGGCATTTTCTGCGAGCCAAACTTCAAGCCACAAATAAACAAACGAAGTGTTCGATCGTTTAAATAGCTGCTCGTCAGATTTTATTGCATTATAAAGAAAAGTTATTGAAACTAAATACAACTAAATAAACAACAACAACTAAAACAAATAACAACAACTACTAATAACAATAACTAAATAAACAACAACTAAATTCCATTCGTTTAGCATTGCGTCATATGTTGTTCCTACTAAATCGAAGTAGTTGTGTTTTTTTCATATTATACCCAATTCAAAACATCTAGCAGACGATTTATCAAACACGATATTCAACATAAGAGGTGTGAGAGAACTATCGTTTGCAATAAACCCTAACAACTTACTTGCAAAATAGAAAAAGAGTATCACAGACAAGTGCATCAGCTGCCTATTTCTGTAAACAGTTGCCATATTGCCTTAAACAGAAAACAAACCTGTAAAACGGGAAAAATATGTGTCATTATTTTTAAATATATGATAATAAATCACAAATAATTCTTCAAACTAATTTGCAAAAGAATTAGTTAAACTACTGGACATAAACTCTATAGCTATCAGGGGGTCATTTTAGAAGAAATTTGGATCCGAAAGAGGATCATATCATAGAAAAGAACCCCTATCAAACTATTTTATTTTAAAAATATTAATACTTAAATTTAATTACATTTTTTCATTTATATTTTTATAATTTGATTCAGGAATTTCCTTGTCTTCTGTATAGGGTTCAAAATTATAAGGCTACGGATTTGAACATTGGGAGTCGTAAACCCAAAATTGGATCGGCTGTTCAACGACGGTAGTAAAATTATAAAATAATCCTCAAAAATAGGACATTTTACAGAAAAACAGGGTGGATCATTGATTTTTGTGATTTTTCATAAAATCTCGAAACATTTAGTAAATTTTTCACAAAAAAGGCTTTCACAAAAGTATCCAATAACTATGTAAAGTATATGTTTCTTTATACATCATTTCCTGCTAATGGTATTTTCTTTTTGATGTATATGCAATAGACAAATTTTTTAATCTAGTATAAGAGAATGCCGCCGTTAATGTGCATTTTTAGAATTTTTTTTTAAAAAGGAAGTAAAGAAATACGAACATGATCATTTATGTTAAATATCAAGTAAAGCCTATTTATTTGAGATTACTATTATGACTTCTCCCATCAAACTAATTTTAATTTTCAAAATTTAGAAAACAAATAAAAAGTACTCCTATTATTAAAGTATTGTTGTTCTTTTTATATATTAAAGGTATACAACATTTTAAATTTCGGATTAAAGATTTATACTTTACTTTTTCTGCCTATACAGAGAGTTATTATGGAATATTAATGGAATTCCATGTAATTAATAAATTGTAATTATAAAAAAAACGTAATTATAAAATTTTTTTAAACGTTATATCTCTTACACTATTAAAATTTTCATTCCAAAATTATGGTAAAATAACCAGTAGAAATTTATCCATCCAATTAACAATAAACTTTACGATAAAGAACATTTTTTACCTTTACGGATTTTAAAACCGTTTACATACAATAGCCATGAATACGAAACTATACGTTTTTTTAACCAATTAGAGGTAATCAATGCGGTTTTTTGACCAATTAACCACTCTCCAATGGGCATTTGAAAGTGCAGGACACTGGAAACTCGAACACCAGTTCTGTCGATCATGGGACTCACAAATTAGCCATCTCAGCTATAATATGTGCGCAGTTGTAAGGGGAAAAGCAGCTTCATTAGGTGAAAGCAGTTTATAAACGGCTTTTATTGCAGTTAACAGTTTCAATATAGTATAATAGCATTTAAATAAATTGTTATTTAACCATTTTTTTCAAGAAATTTCTAACAATTTAAGTTTATTACATGATTAGAGTTAATCAATAAATTTAATTTTTGATTAATAAAAGCATTGCAAGACATCATTGTTATAAAACTAATAAGATTGTAGTCTATTCTTAGTTATTAAACTCGTACTGACATAGCTGTAAAGAATAAGATGAAACTATAAAAATTAAACAGTAATATAATAACTTGTACAAACTTCCATTGGCGCAGAATACATTAAAACTTGTATTTTATTTTTAACGACTATTTTCTAAATCGTTTGAACGGAATAGATTGGTTAGACTTCCAAAAAAAAAGTTTAACCAAAGAAAACAAAATACCATTACGATGTAACCGACCTCAAAATTTAAAATGGAAAATTGTCCATCGTTTTTTTTTTTTTAAAAATCCTTTTTCTTTTGATACTTAGAAACCAGAGATAGAATAACACAGACTTTTTCAGTTTTATGATTGGCTTTCCAAACTGTGTGTTTAGTTAAGAGGGTTAAGGTTCATTGTTCGAAGCATATTATTCTAGTACTTAAATTGCTTTTTTTTTTCTTCTAAAACAATGTTTTTTCAATCTTGACTTTCTTCTGTCTCTGGTGTATAAAAAATTTTCTTAGTTTAAATTAAGACGGATCATGTTTGACGATAAAATTGCTCTATTTATTACTTCCTTTCATACTAGATTCCATTTTTGTTTTCTTTTCGGATTTTTTTCAATGTGCATTTCTTTTTAAAGTCAGATAACAATACATTTTTATTATATGTTTAGATTTAATGCAGTTTTCATCTAAAACATTTAAATGAGTATCAATTTTGCTTTCATACATTATTTTGTAAATAAAATGTCATTTTTTCGTACTATTATTATTATTTCTTATTGTTTTTATTATGTGTTTGTATTAAATACAGTCTTTATCTAAAAGATTTAAAGAAATATAAACTTTGTATTCATATGTAATCATGTACATTAATATATAATTTTCTGGTAATCTAATTTGAATTTTTATATTATTTTGCAATACGTTATAAATTCTTTTCTTATTAATTATAATTATTTTTATTCTTAGTATTTTAATTAAATATTTATCTTTAATACAGTTTTTATCTAAAACATCTAAAAAGATTTCAACTTGTATTCAAATATAAATATGTAAATTATTGGTTATCAATTTTTTTCTTATTAATTGTTATTATTTTTTCTTATTATTACTATTTTTACATTATGTACATTTATGTTTATATTTAATACAGTTTTTATCTGAAACATTTAAAACAATATCAACTTTGTATTCATACATAATTATGTAAATGATTATATAAATTTATTTTAGTATTTTAATTTCAATTATTACAATTGGTTTTATAGTTTTTCTTATTAATTACTATTATTTTTTCTTATTATTATTTTTATTGTATGCTTATATTTAATACAGTTTTTATTTAATACAGTTTTTATCCAAAACATTAAAAAAATATCAAAATTGTATTCATATATAATTACGTAAATTTAAATTTAATTTTTTGAGCTTTTACATTACTATTGCAAAAGGTTTTTAAATTTTTATGTTTAAAGACTTAGTATCGATATCATTTTAAATTTTTCATTGCTTTTATACGGGTTCTTACTTATATATAGAATTCGTATTTAGCCTTTAAAAATGTACGTAAACGTACATTTTTAAAGGCTACGTAAACGTACATTCTACGTAAACGTACATTCTACGTAAACGTACAGGTTACGTAAACGTACATAATTAAATGTACGTAAACGTACAAACGTACATAAATAGTTAGATATTAAGTAGGTAAATAACGTGGTTGAATTGCAAGTAAATCAAACCTGATGTAGCAAAGCTAAAGAAATGCTGCCATTTTTTTTTTCTTTTTTTAAAAAAAAAAAAAAATCACTTTCTTTCTCGAACAAAGAATAGTGTAAGTCAATAAAAACAGTCTTAAATTTCCAATATTAAAATATTATGCATAAATTTCTATAAAAACTAATTTTTATGAGCCTAATTTTATCAATCTTATAATTTCTATTTTGCAAGACGATAAATTTAGGGCTAAGAAATTATAATTGTAATGAAGTAAATTATTAATTATAATGAATTAAATTATAAATTTATTTCATAAAAATCTATTCAGGATAGCTCTGAAAAGCTATCTATAGTTGTTTCGAAACATGTATTTTAAAATAGGTTTAAAATGGAAAGGGAATTAGCGATTTAATTCATTTTCGCAGATAAAGAGGATATATCTATTGCTAAAAAAATATCTAACTAAATGTAGCATTTAGTACCAATCGAATTAGAAAACAGTAAAGATTCGCTATAACGAGAAAAAAAATCCGTATATTCAAAAAAATAATTAATTTTAGAAAACAATTTTGAAAAACAAATATTTAAGCATAGAGGAAGGGTTAGGGATTTGCTCATTTAAGAGGCAAGAAAGATGGAAAATTGCAAAACTTAGCTTATGACAAATTTAAATTGCTCCCGAGAAACATAATCGTATGACAGCAAATGAATTTTATCCACAAATGGTATATTTAAAAATATTTAAATACATTATTTTAAAACTGTTTAAATATATCTAAAAAAAAACTAGATTCCTTTAACTAGAACTAGAAGTGTAATTAAACCAGAACTTTTTACAAGAATATCTTTATAAATTAGTTCTCAAATACGTTCCATTCTGCAAAGAATCGCAATAAATGTGAATATTCAGCTTACAGTCATTATTTTTATTGCCGCTCATAAATAGTCATTAATTGTTAATTAAAATCATAAACCGCATGACAATATTATATAGCCAACACCTCAAAGGTTATGAGAAAAGTCTATGCTGACTCCACCTGATTTGATTTCGTAATAGATTTCGCAACTCGTCATTAAGGGGAGGGAAAATAAATACGATGTTAACACGTATGTTTTGGTAGATTAAAGAAAAAATAAAAAAATAAATAACATCCGAAATAATCATGTAAAACAAGAAATAGAGATTTCGATTGACGGTATAAAGCCGTCAGTTTCATCAAAAGAATTGAAGTTCGTTCAAGGACTGTTTGCGTCTCAAGGTCATATTCTGCTCCAGTCCAAGAAAAAAATAATAATAAAATATAGTTTTAAAAGGCCAGAATAACTTGGGACCAAAATTCGGTTTGATAACTAAACAATCGGTTTAGTAGAAAGAGAGAAGAAATAAAAGAATCAACAAAGGAATGCAGGCGATAATTTCTACTTAAAAAAATATTAACTAAACTCGACTCGGTAACTAGTCACATTAAAATACAAGGACCATTAGGACCATAAATAAAATAGGAATTTGGAAGTAATGCAAGAATAAAGTTGATGGAAATTCGCTTCAATGGCTAAGCAATCATAACATAAAATAGGAATGAAAGTTTAATCGAAGAATTTCGATTAAACTTTCATGCTGACATTTCAACTTTCATTTCAACTGCTTAAGGCAATCAGGCGATTCTTTCTGCATTAAAAAAAGAAATTATATCCGGTTTAGTTAGAAACTAGTCAATTTAAAAAAGTTAAGCATTAGCACAATACATTAAATAGATCATTTGGAATCAATTC